AGTTCCAAGCCAGCCAGGGCCATCCAAGGCTGCTTAGTGAGACCCTGTCTCAAAATAAATAAAATAAATAAATTAATAATATAATATATGTGAAATTGTAGCATAATGCTTAGCATACCTTAAGTGCTGAGTTTGTACATTATTTTATTATAATTAGGAAATGGAATTATTGTTCCTTCTAAGGTAGTTTCAACAATGTTGGGATAGTTAGAGTTTTTTACTTTACCTTTTGCTCCAGGATCTATCTAATTATCTGACCAAGAGATGGAATCTCTCAGTACTTTCTCTGCATAACCATGTTTACTGGTTAGCTCTATGGTCAAGAATCTGACTCCCCCCATAAAAAAAAACCCTCAAAAAACCCCAAAGCACCCTAATGGTTTAGAGTCAAGTGCTCCATTTTCAGCAGAAAGCTAGTAACACAATCTGTGAATTTGAGCTGGAAATATAGAAGAATATGTTTCTTATTAAAATACTTGTTTAGAAACCAATTGTTCTGAGTGTGGTGGTGCACACCTGTAATCCCAGCACTTGGGAAGCATAGGCAAGAGTTCAGAGCTATCCAGGGCTACATAGTGAATTCTAGGTCAGCATGGGCTACCTAGTAAGACTGTCATGGACACACGCACATGAGCTAGTTTCTAGGACTGAAAACTTGTCTGTCTCATTAATACTACAGGCTAGTTATTTCATCTTTTGATTTCCTTGCTTACATTTATAAAATAGGCTTAATAAAATAGAAGAACATTGAAGAAATTGGTTAATGTAAGAGACGTGCTTAGAAAGGTGCCCAGCTACATAGCAAATAGCCCTTAGCATTGTTTTTATTATTACTATTCGTACTTCTGTGGTTACTTCGGGCCTCAGGATTCCCTCAATACCATGGGCTCTGTTCATTTGTGCCTGTCCTCAATCTGAAGTTCAGTTAGCAACATCTTTAATTAAAAACGTGAATAACTGGGGCTGGAGAGATGGCTCAGTAGTTAAGAGTACCGACTGTTCTTGCAGAAGACCCGGGTTCAATTCCTAGCACCCACATGGTGGCTAACAAGCATTCTAACTCCAAATTCCAAGGGATCAAATGCCCTCTTCTGGCCTCTGTGGGCATTGTACAACACAGGTGCACTTACACAGTTGCAGACAATACACTCATACACATAAAATAAAAAATAATAAAATACTTTAAAAAAATCCAAATAGCAAACTTTACCTTGCATGTAATTTAATTTTTGCCTGTGAAATGAGAAGACTATTCTGTAGGTAGGCTAAATGTGGAGATGGGTTTGTTGCACAGAATGTGAAAGTCATCATCATCAATACGGCATGGCACCTTCCCTCTGCTCGCTCTGTGTGCATCTTTTTTCAGTCCCAAATGTCATTTGCATGGACCTGGTGATGTTGAGTGTGGGCATTGCAGAGGAGTGATAGCTTCCTTTCTCTATTGAAGCTGAAGCTTCAAAGAGAAGATTAAAGAAGTGTTTGCTATCTATCTGCACAGGCTGATAGGAACTCCTCGGAGGCCTTTAGCATAGATAGAAGTCTGTATGTACATTTGTATGCTTTTCCTTCTGTATATTTCTTTTTCGGTCTTTGTGTCTTGTTTTAAAATGTCTAGCTCCAGATTTGTTGGACTTTCTGGACAAAGAGAATTGTTTTCAGAGAAAAGAGCAAAAATTGGAAGATTTTGGCAGGATTTGACTAAATGCTTCATGAAGAACATAGAAGTCTCTAGCTTGCAGTCATCCAGGGCTGTGATGAAGACCAGTCACAGGATATATTTAACAAGACAGGATCAAGACCTCAAATGTGTCCAGCAGAGAATAATTTGGTGTCCTTTAGTGAGGGATGAGATTGCTTACCTTTTATAGTTTCATTTTAGACATGCCCAATGGGGCTGGGGTATAGCTAAGTTGTAGAGTGCCTGTCTAGCATGCACAAGGCCCTGGGTTCAATGCCCATCATGGCATACCAGTGGATATGGGAGTACATGCCTATAATCCTAACACTTGATAGAGACAGAAGGATCAGAAGTTCAAGATCATCTTTAACTACATAGGGAATGAGGCCAGCCTGAGCTACATGAGACTAGTTTTCCCCTCACCCCCGACCAAATCCCCTGTAGGATATGTGTGTTTTTGCTGTTGTTATTGTTTGTGAGCAAATTTCCTTTAGAATTATTGTATTAATTAATACTTAGAGTAAGAACAAAGGAAGAAAACATGAAGTGCCCATGGAGGTCAGAAGAGGGTATTGGATCCCCTGGAACTGGAGTTACCAAGAGTTGTTAGCCACCATGTGGGTGCTGGGAACTGAACCTGGGTCCTCTGCAAGAGCAGAACGTGCTCTTAACTGCTGAGCCATCTCTCCAGCCTAGAGTCAGCCGCCGCTACTACCTGGTGAGCTTTTTTTTTCCTGGGCCATTAAGAGAGAATAACGTGTGTGTGTGTGTGTGTGTGTGTGTGTGTGTGTGCATGTTCCCACCCTAATTTCTATTTCTATTTAATTGGAAGTTGAGTAATGATAATCAAGTACTAGAGCAATGTCTCAAGAGAAGACAGAAAGTGGCAGAAGGTGGAAAATTGCTCACCTGTCTGAAGATTTGCTTGATTAGCTATTATGATATGATTGTAAAATGTCCTCCACAGGCTCATGTGTTTTAACATGCAATGTTAGTGCAATATTGGGGCGTTGTAGGCGCTTTAAGAGGTCCAGCCGACAGAAGTAACACTAGGGGTGGCCCTTTAAAGTGTAGAGCCCTGCCTCATTTCCTGCCAAGCTCCCCACTTTCTGATTACAGTCCTGTTGTGATCAGCTGCTTTTCACCCCCCACCCATTGCCATGGTCCCCTGTCCTCTTTCACCATGAGGGACTGTACCTCCTCAGACCATGAGCCAAAATAAGTGTTTCCTTCCTTAAGTTGTGTCTTGTCATATTTTGGTCACAATGGTGAAAAAAGTAATACTGCTGTGTTTTCAGGAAGTAGTTTAGCCCAGTGGTAAGCTGCACTGTGCTAGGTAGAGATTGACCCATCTTACTATTTCATACAACTAAGTTAAAGTTCAGCCAGTTCTAAGTGCCCCTCCACCAGTGTGGGCATCCCTTCTTCCCAGATGTTGAAGCTTTCTGGTTCCTACCTCTTCCTCTACTTTTCTCCTCTCCCAGTGTCTACTGTGTCATGGCTGTCCCAGCCTTCCCCTCCACTCTTTCTAACCTATTATTTTCTATTTCCCTTCACCTCATTGTCAACCCAACACGGTGCTGGGAAAAGCTTTCGTCAGGCTTTTGCTCCAAGTTCTTCTTCCTCTCTGGTAATCGCCCTCAAATTCATCTCTGTATTGTGGTAACCTTCTCCCCACTGACCTCTTTCTTCTCCATTTTCTGAAGTTCTCTTTCACATAGTAGAGAGATAGTATAGATATCTAGATATTAGGTTCATATTCCTCCCTAATGTAGCCAAATTTAACTTTGGTCATGTCAGTACTAGAAGACATCTAAGTATCACCTAAGTATGATCTTTTCCTGAACTTTCTGTGGGCTATGGACTTAAGAATTTGATTAAAACTCTGTACTTTCACCAGGCATGGTGGCACACACCTTCAATCCCAGCACTTGGGAAGCAGAGGCAGGTGGATCTCCATGAGTTCAAGGCCAGCTTGGTATACGTAGCAAGTTCTAGGCCAGCTGGGGCTACAGAGAGACCCTGTGTCAAAAAGGCCCAAAACCAGACAAAAACAAAAAACCTGTATACTTTCTTTCTAGAAAATAACTTCAGATGTGCATTCCCAAGAAGCTAAGCTGAGAATAGAAAAATATCCATTCTACTTAGTGGTGTGAAGGTTTTTATGCCTATTGAAAAAAATTAAGGCGTCGTCACCAGGAGCCCGACTGGAGTGCGCCGAGCAGTGGGAGGTGAAGGTGGGAAGGGAGAGAATGTGACAAGACTTTGAATATTGTGCTGCGGAGGACAAGGGGACAGCAGGTGGAGGGATGTGAAGAGGCGAGGGGAGGATTTGCTTTATTTTTATAAGAGCACAAATGCTGATGGGAAGGGCCACGTTGAGAGGAAGAGGGTGAATAGACCCAAGAGAAAAATCAATACTAATAATGTAAGTTTCCTGTGAAGGCAGTAAAATAGACTTTGTGGGTAACCACCATACATGACATTGTTTCTGTTGGGGGAGGTACAAGTCAGGTTCCATAGGAATGATTCACAGACGACCTTTTCCATCACGGCTGTTTCAGTCCTTAAGACGTACAGGGGTGTGTGGTTTGCCAATCATTTCACAAAGAGGAGAGGGGATGGTACCATGGATTCAGTGGGCCTATTTCTGGACTTGAACACTAAAATGTGAGCAACCTCAATTCAAGTGTTTGTCTCTTACCTGTACATTTTAGGAGTAAGAGGCATTTGAGGATGTGGTGGTGGTAGTGGTGGTGTTTGGACTATCATAACAACTGGGAGCATCACTGGTATTCGCTGCCCAGGCCAGTGATGCTGATGGTCCCATAATACATGAGATATGTGTGAAAAGAAACTGGGAGCCACCATGGGGCTCTTTCCTATGTCATCTCCAGCTTTAAAAGCATATTTTATTATTATTATTATTATTATTATTATTATTATTATTATTTTGTCTTTTTGAGACAGGGTCTCCTTGTAGCCCCAGATGTCCTGGAACTCACTATGTAGACCAGGATGGCCTCAAACTCACAAAGATCCACCTGCCTCTGCCTCCCAAGTGCTGGGATTAAAAGCGTGTGTCACCATGCCTGGCCAAAAGTCACATTATTAATCTAGGAGTCGTGGTGCACTGAGACAGCTTTTAAGCCATTAAGAGTCTTTGAAACTTCAAAGACAACTTGCTTTTCTCAAAGCCAGGCTCTGGCTGATTATTGACTATTTAGTAAACTTTTTGTACTAGGTCTATAGACATGGTATATCAACCAAAACTGAGACATGTAAGCTTGACTTATCTCTACTTTCCTCCTTTGTATTTCAGGTACTGCTGGGATTTTCCTCCCCATGGTGAGTACTCTTCGGCCATGTGTGGTTTTATCCTAACAATGTGTAGTTGTAACTGTCTTCTAAGTTTCTCCTCAGAGTGGCGTGGCATTAACCGTGTCTGAGGAAAGTCAGTTGAGTGTTTAATTAACCTTCACCCCACTAGGCCCCCCTGCTCTACATTTAGCAACAAGACGGCTCAGACACTGGATGGTTGCAGGATTACTTTACTGAACCAAAGCAGTAATAATTCCTTGAGTTTTGTTAGATGTCCACAGGAACCTATAGCACTCAGGTAAAATGGTGGTCAAGTCTATAATAAAAACCTTGGGTGGGTTCCAAGGTTTCATTTGCTCCAGAAATAAATTCCTGTGCTATATTTTCCATCACAATACCCTTCCACACAGACTGCCTGGCAGCAGAGAAATGTCAGAAATGGAGCTGCATTGAAATTCCCACTAGGACAGTGTTACCACATTTTAATATGAGCCTCACTACAGCCTTGATGCCTCTAATTGCTTTCAAACCATTGTTTTCCTGCTTTTTCTTGATGAACCCAGCATCTGGCACAATTCTAAAAAGCACAACAGACAGCTGTGTGCAAAATTAAATACAAAAGACAGGATTCGAACACATTTTTAAAAGGTTTAAAGTCAGAATATTAAAAAAAATTCCAATAATTTGATGTGCTGTTGGTGTTCTATTTTCTCGGTGCTCTGGCTGAGAAAGTCAGAAACATCGTCCTGAGTGTTAATTATCTGAACTTAGGAGATGTGGAAGAGAATTGCAGAGTTTTTACACCAGACTTACAAATAGCATTGTGAGTTGTTTGGCACTTTGACTTTTTAAAACTTAATCGATTTCTCTTGTCTTACTGTCATTGTGACCCGCCTTACTGAGCAGTAATACTTCAAAGAACTTAGTAGAACTTAGTGTTGAGTGATGGTACTAGGTTTTTAAAAAATTTTTCTCCCAGGGGCTAGAGAGATGGCTCAGCGGTTAAGAACACTGGTTGTTCTTGCAGAAGACCTCAGTTCGAATCCCAGCACCCACATGGCAGCTAACAACTGTCCTTAACTCCAGTTCCAGGGGATCCAACGGCCTCTTCTGTCCTCTGCGGGCATTGCACGACACGGGTGCACTTACCTACATACAGACAATACACTCATTCACATAAAATAAAAATAATAAATAAAATATATGAAAAAGGTTTTTCTCCCTCAAAAATTAATTTATTTGTAGTTGGTGTGTGTGTGTGTGTGTGTGTGTGTGTGTGTATGTGTCTGTGTCTGTGTGTGTGTCTGTATGTCTCTGTGTGTCCCTGTGTGTGTGTGTGTGTAGAGAGAGAGACGAGAGGTTGATATTGGATATCTTCCTCAACTGCTCTCCACTTTATTTTCAGAGGCAGGGTCTATTACTGAAACTGGAGCTTGTGGAGTCTCACCCCCACCCACCCCCAGCTCCTTTGTGAGTGATGAGGATCTGAATTCTGATCCTTACACTTGTGTGGCAAGTGTTTTTATCCACTGAGCTATCTCTTCAACCCAGATAGTACTAGTTTTATTAAAAATTTCCTCACTTATGTTTTGTTATAATGTATTTTAAGACTGTATAAGACTTTCTTTAAAAGCCAGCTTAGTAAATCAAAAGTCATATATTTATTTTTTAAAATA